CGGAGAATAATCAGTTGTCACTGGCAAAATGGAAATAATTTTATTCAAGTAGATAAAGAACATTGTTTGCTCTAATTTTAATACTGCTTTACATAGTTTGTGAAACAATTTCAATCGTGTTTATTACTCAAAATGTCAATGGATTACGATCTTTCACTGGTGAGACACTTGATAATCTCCAGAGGAAAATACATCAAAAGCATATATACAATTATAGAAGTTCTTATAATCCATGTAGCCCTGATGGTACATTATTTATCACGTTTTACAGAACTAGAAAACATTCAAATGAACATAAAGAGATTCAGACTGGATGATAAACTTCTGATGGTTCAGGTCCTTCATTTAATTTTTTCTGATAAGAAAATCCAAAATTATTAATGTTGAATTTCTCATCATACATTCATCTAAAACCACAGTGGAAAAAAAGTAAACTTTGTAAAGACAGTAAATTGGTTATTTTAGGTGTTTCACAAGTACTTGCTATCTAATCCAGGAACTGCTGGAGATTTCTGCACAGTGCAGAGAATGAGGTGGCCGGGCCGAAGTTGTTGCTGTCGTAATTGTTGAGGTCGTCCCCGTTCCCTTTGAGAGCCCCCTCGGACATCATCTCCACTTTCATGTTGAGGTCCTGATTCTTTCTTTGGAGGTCCACAATCACGGAATTCAGGAAATCAATCTGTGAGAGCGTGAGACGGTGAGCCATCTGCGGGAGCCATGGGAGCCCGCCACAGAGGAGGCTGGGCCCCGCTTCCAGTCCCCGCCCCAGGGTTGGAGGCAGCCAGAGCTCCCCTTTCCCTTCCTGAGCGCAAGCTCCCGGGTGCCCAGGGAAGACCCCAGGAGGAGATGCTGGTACCCCTCGGTTCTTCTCAGAGCAGGGAGTCAAGAGGGGTCTTCCCTCTCCTACAAAGACAAACTCACTTCTTTCAAATGAATGGGGCGGGGGAAATCCCACTTTAAAAAAGCAAGCATGACTGTAGGCACAAACATTCATGTTTCACTTGAAAACTGGCAGGCGCGTTGGGTCTGAGTGATAGCACAGCGGGAAAGGTGCTTGCCTCACACGCAGCCAACCCAGGTTTGATCCCTGGCATCCTATAGGGGCCACCGGAGAGCAGCCAGGAGTGATTCCTGAGTGCAGAGCCAGGAGGAAGCCTGGAGTATCGCCACGTGTGGCCCCCAAAGAAAGTGTAAATAAAACCAGAAAAACAGACTGATTCTTTTTCTCCCTCAGGGCAAGTTCGGATGGCCAGTCTCTGAGAGTGCCCAGGCCATCCCACACTAGAGCCAAGAAACGCAGATCTCTCTTCCTCCAGCTGAAAACAAAACAAAACAAAACAAAACAAAACAAAACATGGAAATGTTCAGTTCCCAACAAACCCATACAGGGTCCACCTGCACAGCCCACATGCAAAGTTCACTTCAGCCCACAAGTGCCCTCCAGGGCCACCGGCTGTTAAGTACAGAAGTGCAGGAAGTGAGGGTGTGCGGGAACTCCTCAGGGCACTGGGACCCAGATGTTCCCCTTCCTCGGAGAGGATTCAAACGATAAAGCGCTGCAGACCCGGGTGGGATGGAAGGGGGGTTGGGGAAGGAGAGACATCAAGGAGGCCCCAAGGCTGACTCCTGCTGCAGGCCAGATCCGAGCTTGGTGATGGTAGGTGCGGGCACCGGACTGCAGCCAAGTGTGCAAACCCCGGAGGACCACACCCAGCTGTCTCCCTTGACAGGAGCAAGAAGCAGGAAGGCAGCCCAGAGAACCAGACTCCCCCAGCTCTGGGCCTAGAGTATGCGCAATGAGGCTGGAAAAGCCACATGCTGGTGGGCGCCTCCGTTTGCGACTGAACCTTCCTGGCAGGGAAGAAGCCCTCCAAAGTGGTGTTCGACTCTGGCAAAGTGATGATTTGACAATTTTATGGGAGCCCGAAGCCCAGGTTCTGGGAGAGCAGCAAGAGGAAGGGTATTGGAGGGCTCTGGCAAGGACATGACCCCTTGACTGAAGGGATGTGTCCTTGTCCATGGGGCCTCTCACTCCTTAAGCATCACCTCTTGTGCTGGGAGCGTGTGGGGGTGGGGTTCCGGCAGCATGTGCGCGGCCCCTGGTTCTCACGGGCGCCAGGGGAGCACAGCCCCTTCTTCCTCAGCTTCCCTCTTTTTGGCTTCTGTTATTTTAAAGAATCAATTAATTTGGGGAGGGGGTTTTTGGGTCACAATCCGGCGTTGCTCAGGAATGACTCCAGGCTCTGCACCCAGGAAGTACTCCTGGCGGTGCTTCGGGGACCATATGGGATGCCGGGGATGGAACCTGGGTTGGCCATGTGCAAGGCCAACAGCCTACCTGCTATGCTATTGCTCTGGCATCATTCTCAGATATTTTAAATGGTAGATATTCCCCGACTCTTTTGAAGCATACACACATATATACATATGTACATGTCTGTGTATGTATACATGCTTATCTAGAACCTTTGTGGGTAGTCAGTTTGGTTTGTTTGGGGGCCACACCCTGTGGGGTAGGGACTAAACCCTAGCTCTGTGCTCAGGGATCACTCCTGGCTAGGGTGGAACAGCTCAGGCTGTCAGCAGTCACTCGAGCCCGGGAAAGTGGGGCTGTGAGGTCAGAGGGCACTGGCTCACCTAGCACTGCACTCAGGAATTACTCCTGGCGGTGCTCAGGGGACCATATGGGATGCCGGGGATTGAACCTGGGAATTCGGTGTGTAAGTCAAACGCCCTCCCCGCTGTGCTATCACTATGGCCCAGGATATGGTTTCTCTCAGGGCTGAGGCCGGGCCTACACAGCCCTGGTCACTACCATCACCCACCTTACTCTGCATCATCGCATTGGTGTTCCTGGTGTCCTCCAGGGAGGCCAGGGCCTGCAGGGACGCCTCCCGCTCGGCCAGCAGCTCGGTCTGCTGCGCCTCCAGCAGCGCCTGGTCTTTCAGCAGCCAGTGCAGCTGCCGCTGGAGCTTCGTGGCCTTCTGGCCCAGCAGCTCCTTCTCGGAGCCAAGGCTGTTCAGCTGCTCACGCAGGGCCGACTCCACGCGGGCGGCCTCCTCCTTCTCAGCCGTGAGCTCCTCGATCTCTTGCACCAGCGACTTCTGATCCCGAGCCAGCTCCTCGGAGGAGCACTGCAGCTTCTGGATGATGTTGTCCTTGTCCTTGGCCAGGGATAGGTTCTCCAGAACCAGCTTCTTGACATGCTCCTCCAGCTGGCCCCTCTCCTCCAGGCCCTTCTTACACTCGGCCACCAGGCTGCTCTTGCTCATCTGCAGCTCCTCCACCAGGGCCTGCAGCCCCAGCTTGGCGACCTGCAGTGCGTCCTTCTCCGCGCCCACCCTCTGGAGCTCCTCCTGCACCGCCCTGCCCTCTTCCAGCACTTTCTCTTTCTCCGCCTCGAGGGCTTCTCGGTCCAGCCGCTCCTGCTGGCAGAGCTTCTCCGCGGCCCACCTGGCCTCGATGACCTTCTCCTTATCCATGCGAATCGCTTGGTTCAAGAGCCAGAGCTTCCTCTGCTCTTCCCGCAGTGAAGAGTTTTTGGCCTCCGCTTCTCTGAGTTTCAATTGAAACCACCCTCTCTCGGACTTCAGACAGAGCTTCTCCTTCGCCAGCAATTCATTCTCTGACCTCAGGGCCCTGCGATCCTCTGACATCAGCTCCATCTCTTCTTTGGCCGAGCTTAATAAGCAAGTTAAGGACTGCAGAAACAAAAAGCGGGGAAGAATGGAAACAAGAATGAGATCAAGCAGGCACAAGCAAGCCAAGCACTTCATGTGGCCTAAATACCAGAAATGAAAATGGCAGAGTAGTCTTACCTGCACACGCGTGTATACGCGCACGCGCACACACTCACACACACACACACACACACACACACAGACTCAGGATGGAGAGGCTCAGACACAGTTAGCTTCTTAGCGTCAACATAACTACCTGCCTATTTTGTGGATGGGGGCCCCACACCTGCTGGTCTTCGGGTCTCGCTCAGGGTTCTGTGCTCAGGGATCACTGCTGGCAGGGCCGGAGGACGGGATGCTGGGGATCAACCCCAGGTTGGCCGAGTACAAGGCAGCACCCTACCCATTCTACTATCAGCCGAGTTGATTTTTGAAATGCTGTCTGAAATGATTCCTGACAGCTCCCCGGAAGGTGTAAGTACAGTTGGATCTTGACATTGGGGCATAAGATTTTTCCCCCCACTTCAATTCTTCTATTATAAAATCCATCACTCTGTCCTAGAAGGGATGCATTCAAAAACTAGTTTTCAATACAATTCAAAGAACTACAAAAAGTATTTTGTTTTGGAACTTTGTGCAGGAGGGGAAGGGAAAAGCAACCACTGCTTTTCAAACGATTTTCACAGGGACAAACAGAGGCAGGAAATGGACTTAGTCCCCAAAGTTATCCACTTTATAGAAAATCCAGACGAATCCACCAAGCTTTGGAGACTGAAGCCAACAGTTTTTGCTTGCCAAACACAGTAACAAGTCTCAAAATGGAGACATTAGTGGGCCCGCTCGAGCAAATTGATGAACAATGGGAGGGCAGTGTTTGCAGTCATTTGGGAGGGACCCAGGGGCTCCAGGAGGACTGGTCGCACACGGGTCAGGGTCTCCCTCACCTGCTCTCCCTGCCCGTCAGCAACAGGTTGTGCGTTTTCATTTCTGAGTCTCAATGCACACCACAGTTGAACCGCCATGTACTTTCCAGAACTTTCTGCAGCAAGGGCGATCTTCTCTGTCCAGCTCAGCAGCCATGAGCCGCAGCAGGCTACTGGTGTGTGCTGGGCAGCTGACCGCAGATGGCCATGTTACCGGAATGGGACTGACCTGAGCATGCACACGAGGCTGCTGGCCACAGAACTGGGCCAGCAGGTGGTCCAGAGAGGAGACGTAGCCCTGGCTGCGGTGCGTGGTGGAAAGCGGCCAGGCACCAACACACACACGGGCCACGGCCGCCATCAGCCGCGGCGCTGCCCTGCGCCCACCCACCTTGGCCTTGTTGGCTTGCGTCTTCAGCTCGGCCACCTCCCGCAGCAGGCTCCCGTTCTCCGCCTGCACCGCCTGCAGCTTCTCCTTCGCCTGTAGCAGCAGCTGCTGAAGGGCCTGCGGCGCCTCCTCATGGTGCCCCTGGATCTCCACGCTGGCCTTGGTGAGCTCGGCCTGTAGAGCCTGGCACTGGCTGCGGCTCACGTCCACCTTCTCCTCCTGTGGGGAGCCGGGGGCCACTGTCAGCCGCCGGCCCCCTGCCCGCTCCCAGCACACACGCACACACACGAACAAACATGAACACACACACACACACACAACGCAAACACACAAACATACACACACGCACACACACGGCCCCTCTGCTCTGCTCACCAGCATGCACACACAAACACACATGCACACACACGCGCGCACACACGGCCCCTCAGCTCGGCCGCTTTCGTTCAAGTTCTCCTGAAGACTACGAAGCGCTAGCCCCTTCCCCTGCAGCTCTTTGGCCAGGCTATCGGCCTACCAGAGTCACAAGGATGGAGTGAATGGACCAAGGAGACAAACAGCAACGGGAAGGGGAAAACAAAACAGAAAACACGTATGAGAAGCCCATGACCCAACACAACCCCGAAGAACAGAGGCGTGAGGTGAGCGTGATTGCCTGAAGTTCACGAAGCCAAGGCCTTGGCGCCGGCAGTTCTGGTGATGACTGTCTAGTGGTTATTGAAAACGGCCCAAACAGAGGCGTTTTCTAGACCTAACTTTGGCGTGACCAGAAAATAAGAAAGCCTATGAGAAAGACTGACTTTCCAGGGGCGGGGAGACGGCACAAAGGGCTGGAGTACACACCAGGCCCGAGTGGGAACTGCAGCACCACTGGGCGAGACTGAGATCGGTCCACAAGCTGCAAAGCCCCACTACTGCTGGGCGCGAAGACCCCAGAGCCCAGAGCATGGCTTGGCGAGGAAGAAGGAAGTAAGCAAGGGAGGAGGGAAGCTAAGGATAGGAAGGAGGGAGGGAGGAAACAGGGAAGAAAGGGAAAGGGAGGGGAGGGATGGAATAAAAGGTTATCTTTTTTTTTCCTTTTGGCTTTTTCGGTTACCCTAAATGCTCAGGAATTTCTCCTTGGATGTAACCCGGCCAGCTCACCGAGAGTATCTCGCCTGCACAGCAAGCCTGCCAAGCTCCCCGTGATGTATTCGATATGACAAACACAGTAACAAGTGTCACAATGGAGACGTTACTGGGTCCGCTCGAGCTAATCGATAAACAACGGGAGGATAGAGACAATGACAGTGACCCTATGGGATGATGGAGATCAAACCAACGTGGGCCGCGTGCAAGACAAATGCCCTTCCCACTGTACTATCACTCCGGCCCCCAAGATTTACTTTCTTGTAGTTTCTTTTCTGTGACTTTAAAAGTTTGAGGGGTTTCAATATGAAATTTAAAATGAGGAACCTCTAATCCCCTAGACAGCAGTCACCCGAACTTGACGTTTGTTACATCTTGATGCGAACAAGTGGGTCAGCTATCCCCTGCTTTGTCCTAGGAATTGATTCCATTTGTTTCAGCCGGTGTTTCTGGAATGCCAGCCAAGGAGTCCTGAGTCCTGAGAGGAACTCCCGGGGATCTCGGGGCCCTTCTGTTATGTCTGTCAGTCCTGTCTAGAAAGCCCACAGCCCTTCCATCTTGGCCAACAGAGAAGTTTCTCCAACAAAGTGACCAGCGCGGGGGGGGGGGGGGGGTGAGGGCACGTCCCTGCCACCACAATCCTATAGGAGGAAAAGGGCATCTCTCGGGGCTCCTTGGTGAGAACTGCAGCTTCCTCGGCTTGGCCCAGATCACACTGTCTCGTCCTTCCCCAGGGTCAGGGCTACCATGAGAGTCCATGCCTGTGGCCAGCAGGGGGCCATGCTGGAAGGCGGACTTGGCCCAAGCACATGTTAGAAGCTGAAAGGGATGAAATCTCTGCAGGGCTGCGCGGGGGCTTGTGCTGCAGGGAGGGAGGGGCTGGCAATTAGAAATACCAAGATGGGCCACATCACCAGCCTTGAGGGAGCTCAGAGGCTCAGAGGCATCGAGCACCAGCTGGGAACTGAGGCGCCTCGGGGAGAGGAGGGCAAAGCCCGTCACACGAGCAGGTGGTCAGCAAGGTCAGGGAAAGACCCTCGTGGCCTGACTCGAGCCCAAGAGTCTGGGCGAACTCGGCGAGTATGCAGCGAGCCCAAGAGGTGGGGGGCAGAGGTTTGCTCTGGGGGCTCCTATCTTGTTTTCTCACTGGCCTCGTGAAGAATTCTCTGTTTCAGAAAGACCCCAGATGGGCCCGATTAGCCGGGGCCAAGGCTAGCACGGCATCCGGGTGCTGGGGACCAATGACAACCCCCGAATCATGCCGACTCCTTCTCAGTCCCCTCAGAGGGAACCACACGGGACGTGACCGGGAGACCTGTCAGCACCAAGCCGGAACACAGCGGTGAGCAGACTGACACACAGCATGCAGGGAGCGACCGTGGAAGTGGGCGAGGGCGCCCGAGAACCAACCTGCAGCTCTCGGCCCGCTTTGCATTCTCTAACTCCTGAATCTGCCGCTCAGCCACCTGGAGCTGCTGCCTGAGCTTCTCCATTCCCAATTGACCTTCGGAACTGGCCTTCCAGAGCCCATCGAGCTGCAAGAGCTTCTGCTGGGTGGCCTCCAGCTGTGCCGTGGCATTGGCCAGGGCCTGGGCTTGCTGACTACACACGGCCCGCAACCCGTCCAGGTGCTTTACCTTCGTCTCCGCCTCCTGCAGCTTGTTCAGGGCGTCCTCCATCTCCACCAGGTGCTGGTCCTCGATCTGCTCGAGCTTGGCCCGTGCGGCCTCCAGGCTGTTCTTCTGCTCCTGGGCCGTCCTGAACAGCCACGACCTGAGCGTCTGCAGCTCGGAGGCGTGAGCTGCACGCTCAGCCGCCTGCTGGGCCTTCAGGCTCTCCACCTCCTGCTGGTACTCGAACTGTAGCCTCTCGATCTGCATCTTGAGCTCGGCCAGCTCGGCCGCCTCAGCGCCCACGCCCTGGCTCACGGATGCCTTCGGCTCGCCCATGGCCTGTTGGTGCGGGGTGATGGCCGTCTCCAGTTTGGACTTCCACAGGGCGATCACGTCCGCATTCTCCTTGTTGGCATGGTCCAGCTTGGTCCTCAGGCACTCGTTCTCCTTGGCGAGCTTCTCAGAGGCCACCTGCAGGGACTTCACCTCCTTCTGGTGGGAAAACAAAATTTCCATGAACTTAAAACAGGAAGGAAAAGAAGCAGAAATAGAAATTTTTCTTTTCCAAACTGACTCTTTGCTTCTTCTTGTTTTAAGGAAAAGCTTCTAAAAAATGGAGTTCTAAAGGATTTGATTTGTGCTGCTCGACTGAAAATCAAAGCTGAGGCAAAGGCATAGACCCGAATGTCAGAACGAGAGAAAAACGCTCATCAAGAGCAGCCTCCAGCCCCAAGGAGCAGAGATGTGTCAGCCGGGCCCTGCCAGGTGCATGACCCCAGGTATCCCTGTCTGATTCGGAGTCTCCAGCAGAAGTGGTCCCGGCGGGGTCGGCCAGGCCGCCCCGCATCCTTGCCTGCACCCTGCAAGCCTCCGGGACCTGCCCGGGCTTTACCTCCAGGTCGCCTTTGGTGATGGACTCCTCCTCGACTCGGAACTGGAGGTCTTCCACTTTCCTGTGGGGGAGAGGGAGACGTTGTGAGGGGCGTCACTGCTGCCCCCCATGAGGGCCACCATCTTGTAGATGCGCCTGACCCAGCCCCCGGCTCCACACACAGGAGGGCTGAGAGAGTCGGGGAGGGCCAGAGCGAGAGTACAGCAGGCAGGGCGTTTGTCTTGCACGTGGCCGACCCGGGTTCAATTCCCAGCATACCACTGTGGACCCCGGAGCAATGCCTGGAGTAATTCCTGAGTGCCAAGGCAGGAGTAACCCCTGAGCATCGCTGGTTTGACCCAAAAAGAAAAAAAAGAAAGTCAGCGAGTCCCCTCAGCTTCGAGCACTGGGTGGGACCCACAGGCTACAGGAGGAAGCTAGGCCGAGCCAACGCCAGGTGCAGTATCATATCAACCCTTTCTGCCTCGCAGCTAACAGAGGTGGTTAAAAACTGACCCGCGGCACCTGCCAGTCCCTCCCAGCCAGCACCTGTCTCCACATTGGGACAACAACTGAGCCCCTGGGGGAGAAGCAGCCAATGACTCGGGGGCGGGGGGCGGGGGGCGGGGCTCCCAGTGACTGTCGAGTCAGCATGTGGAGCTGAGGGACTGAGCCAGGCACTGGCAGTGCCTCTGGGCACCACACTGCCGGGAGCCCATCTGAAAAGGCGGTCTCGGCCAGCACCCCGTGTCCATCTGTCTGCAGCGAGGCCTCAGCCCCGCGTCCTTCTGTCTGCAGCCTGGCCTGAGCCCCATGTCTGTCTGTCTGCACCCCGGCCTGAGCACCACGTCCGTCTGTCTGCAGCCTAGCCTGAGCCCTGTCTGTCTGCTGTCGTGCCCCATGAGTACTGTGGGTTTCCTCCCGCCTGGGACTTAACCACAGGGACTTCCACAGGGCCCCACTGGGTTAGGACAGTTCCTTGCCACCCAGCACAGGCCTCCTGAATACCAGGCCAGGTGGACACAGCAGGGAGGGCCGGGGGTGGCTTGGCTCCACTGAGCTCCCCCCCTAGCCCTCCCGGTGAGGCCGCGCTCAGGACTGGGCACCCATTGGTTTCTGGTTCTCACAGCCCTGGAAGGCCAGGAGTGCCCCACCCGAGGGAGCCCCCAGCTCCGGGCACGGCCTCACCTCTTCTCCTCCTCCAGCTGGTTCAGCAGCTCCACCTTCTCCCAGTCGGTCGCTTCCAGCATGGCCCGCAGCTCGTCGTTCTTGGCCTCCAGCTCCAGGACGTGCTGTAGAGGCAATGGCACGTGAGTGGCCTCGCCCGCCCCCAACAGCCCTCTGTGGGCTGGCATCGCCACCTGTCACCACGGCAAGCTGAATGCATCTCCCACCTAAGCTACGGCGTTTCTGGAAGGCCAGAGGGGAACCACATCACGCAAGCACCGGCGCGGACAAATCGGCACTCCCTAAACCCCCAGAGGTCGAGCAGAAGGCGCATGCGATCAAACCACGCGCCGGACGCCACCGCAACGACGGCAGACGGGGACCCACGGCCTCTGCCTGCACCGCCTGCACCAAGCTCGCGCCCAGCCTCTACCGCAGGCGTCTCTCGGCCCCGGCACTGCCGTCTGCACAGACGTCACCTGGTCGTGCCCGTTCTGGCCAGGGCCAGCACCTGCTCTTTCTCCCCCATGTGGCTCGTGGCCTTGGCCACCTCCGCCCGCTCCAGGTCCCGCTCGGCCAGCAGCTTCTCAATGTGCTGCTGCTTCTCCTTCAGCGCCTCCTGGAGGGCGGTGGTGCCAGAGATCTTTTGGGCGTAGCAGGAGGAGGTTTCCGGCAACTGCAAAGGAAAAAGAGACGTGAAGGGGATGGGGCCGGCCGACACGGGCATGCTCGCGGTGATCCTCGGCAAAGCACATGGAGCAGTGCTGCATCCTTGCATATGGGGCAGCGACTCTCAGCAGAAACATCTTGAAACCTTCCCGAAGATCCTTGGACGGGACCTGGAATCCACTGACCTCGGGCCTCGTGGGAATCCGGAGACTCTTCTGCAGAGCCCGAGGCAGCCCCCTCCACAGCCTGCTCTGGCCTGAGCTTCCTTAAGGATGAGCCCTTGGCTTGAGCTTGAGGCCAGCTCCAGCATCTTCAGCCTTGCAGGTCCGTCAGGGTCTCCCTGGGCAGCCTGTCCCTTCTCTCTTCCTCTTCCTTCCAGCTCACCTCGCTCTCCCGGGCACCCGCCCCATGCCTGAATAGCAGTAACCAGAGACTCTTGTCTCTGGGAATGGCCCCGTGCCCCCGGGGGTCACTGGGTGTGACCCTATAAAAGACCCCTGTGCCATCTGCCTTCGAAAATGGGAGATGAGAGGCTAGAATGATAAAGTTGCGGGAAAGGCGCTGGCCTTGCACGCCGCTGACCCGAGCTGGATAACAGATACCCACCCCATAGGGTCCCGAGCCCACCAGGAGTGACTCCTGGGTGCAGAGTCCAGAGTAAGTCCTGAGTATTGCTGGGGCATAGCCAAAGTCCAGGAAATAAAAAAAGGAAAAAGTGGTGGGTGAGAATGTGTGAGGGCTCACGCCCAGCGAGCAGGACAGCAAGGGCAGCTCAAGGAAAGACCAAGCACAAAGGGAAGGAGAGAAGAGGCAAAGACAGTGAGGAGGGGAGGGGAGTGGGCTGAAGGGCTGCGGGGACCGGGGGTCCTATCCGTTCTATCCTGGGCTCGTGGTCACTCATGTTGCTCTGCAGACCCAGATCCCTCTCTGCACAACGGCCCCTGCAGGAGGGGACAAGGCGGGACCTGATCTTCATTCTTCGGGCACATGGTGGCGGGGGCTGCAGCGGGGATGGCCAGGACTTCCGCTCCTTCTGCCCGGCCATCCCTGTTCCATCGCCCTGCTGCGGTCCAGCCGCAGGTTCTCTTGCCGCTTCCCCGCATCATCTGAGCTGCTGCCAAACGCCTCCTGACCGACGGGCCCAGCAAGGCCCAGGCTGTCCACTGCTGCTTTGCCTGCTGGGAGCTCTCGAGCCACCTGGTTCTGTCTGGAGAGCGGGATCATCCTTGCCTGTGCGTAAGGACCTGGCCGTGATTTCCCGATACACTTAAAGTATATCTGGTCCGATTAAATGCCCTCCCCAGGGCCAAAGAGTCTGTTGGGGGGGGTGGGGGAAGGTGCTTGCAGAGGTTCAAGATCCAGCACCATCAGGAGTGACCTCACCCCCCAAGCAGAGGGCCAGGAATAAGCCCTGAGCACCCCTGGGTGTGTCCCCAAAACCAAATAATAACTAAAATTTCTAGGAGCACACGAGCTCTCGGGCCAGCCATGTGCAGTGCTCTCGGGAACTGCAGTCAACTCGGATTTCAAGGGGTGGCTGGTAAGAGCTTGCCAGCCTTGGGGGTCTAACACCAAGACCCGGGCTCAACCCCCCTCCACCGGGAGTAGCCCCCAAGCACCACGCCTGGAGTCCCTGAGCACTGCCAGGTGAACCCCAAAGAGCAAAAATAAAAACTAAGAAAGGCGGGCGGAGGTGTTCCCTGAGCCTCCTGGCCTGAGCGGGTGGGGCAGGCCAGAAGCACGCGCTTCCTGGGCCCTGAGGAAACCAGCACAGGAGCGATGGGCTTCTTTCAGCCAACTATGGAGACGAGACTGTGAGGTTCAGGCCCCGGAACAGGGAGAAAGCAGCACCCCTAGCATGGGGGGAGGCGCGTGCTGAGGGGCTGGCAAGTTCGGGGCCACAAGCTGAACTCAGGATGCTGATGCCAAAGCCTCTGCCCTGCGCGTGGTTTGTGAGGCCCCAGGCTCCATCCCAGCAAGGCCAGGCCTTCTGTGGGAGCCTGGTACCTCAGAAGAGCAACTCAGCCAACAGACAAACAGGGAGGCCTCCATAGGGCACGCACGGACCCGTGTGCATGTATGTATGCGTGCATGTATGTTCCAGTGGGCATATCTACACGCACCTGTGTGCATGCGCGCGTTGTGTTTATGCATGTATGTGCCTGTGTGTGTATACCCATAAGCCTGTGTGTATACGGTATGCACTATGTGTACATGTATGAGTGACTGTGTGTATGAACGCTTGTGTGTGCACTTATGGAATTATGTTGTCGAGGTATACTTCCGTGAAGTCACACAGAATCTTTCTATATTCCTGTCATAGACGCTAACGGTGATGTTCAGTTTAGGAGTGAGCTCCACCCTGCATAAAGATATGCAAGGCAGGGGCCAAAGAGCTGGAGAGCGAAGCCCCAGCGCTGCCCAGGCTCAATCCCGGAGGCCCGCCAGGAATAATCCCGAGCACAGAGGTGGGAGAAAGCCCTGAGCTCTGCCAAGTGTGACCCCAAAACAGAACAAAACAAGATAGCGGGGGGAGGCTGGAGATACGTCTCAGGCGTAGGGCTCTTGCTTGGAGGTGGGAGGCCCCGGCAAAACCCCAGCACTGCAAACGGCCCCTTGAAGCACTGTAGGGTATGGCCCACAGTCAAGCAGAAAAACAAAACCAAATTCCACAAATGGGCTGGTTCGCGAGGGAAGGAGAGGGGCTTCTGAGTCTGCTCCCCTCCTAAATGGTGAGGCGAAGGGAAGGAGGAGTCGGACGTGAGGATGCACGTGGGGCAGGGAAACCTGGTGGTGGTCGAGCAAGACAGGACTGGCCCCAGGCCTGTGCCCACGGCGCGTGGCCTCCTGGCTCCCGTTCCCGTGTCATCTGTTTTGTATCTTCTGTTGCACACACACTCACTCCCTCCTCTTCCGCATCGAGGGTCAATGCACGGAGCAGAGGCGGCGGCAGGAAGCGCAGCCCCCAGCAAAGCCAGCCCCCCGGGACACCCTCTCCATCGTGGGCCCGTTTCCCTGTGGACAATATCTCAGGGCACCCTTGCATATTCAGACACACTTTAGTGTTTATGACTCAGATAGACGTGAGGGGAGAAGCCACGAGGCCCCAGCTTTGAATTGCGGCACCGCAATGGACAGAAGTCCAGGCCACTCTGCATGTGGACAGCGGTGCAGAGGGACAGGAGGGAGCAGGGAGAGACGGAGAGAGCAAAGAAGCAAGATGAAGGGCCAAGCGTTCCCCAGAGTCTCTGGGCCCTGCTCTGACCCTCAGGCGCCCCCTTCAGCTACCCCACTTCATCCCTAAGGTGGCCTGAGGCCAGAGAGGAGCCCTGAGCACCCCAGGAAAGGCCGATCCCTGCTCCTGTCACTGGTGGTGGCTGGGAAGCCACTCGCCTGCCACCCGGAGCTGCTCAGCCCACGTGCTCCTGCTCCGCCTCTCGCCCCTGGGGCTGTGGGAGTCTGTGGGGGCCCGAGCACCCCGCAGTGGTGGGGGGCTGCTTACTAGTCCCGTGCGGCCGGGTCTGCTGCTCTCGAATGAGGCCCCGGAGCTGACGGAGCTGAGCGAGGAGGCCGAAGGGCTGCGCTTCAGGCTGGCGGGGGTGGTGGCCATCACACGCCTCACGGTGGCCACCTTGCCCTTGGCCGGCGTCGTGGACGGGAAGCCGATCTTGGTGACTTTGTGAATGGGAGCAAACAAGCCATACTTGGGCTGACACTGGAAGTACCTGCGGACAACGAGGAGCGGGGGACAAAAACACCTTCGGCAAGAGACACAAGCGCCGACCCAGAAGTCCACTGAGTCCCACAGTCTCACACCCCCACAAACGAACATGCTCCCACAGCCCCACATGCCCACACACTCACACCCCAACAAACACATTCACACACGCACCCCAAACAACACTCCCACACTCTCACACTCCCACACCAACAAACACACTCACACTCACACCCCAACAAACATCATACCCTCCACCAGCCCACACTCACACACACTCACAACCTAACATACACACACACCCCAGCCAACACTCCCACACATAAACACCACAACCAACACACACTTACACTCACACCCCAACCAACACTCCCATACTCTCACACTCCCACCCCATCAAACACACACACTCACACCCCAACAGACACTCCCACATGTCCACAGCCCCACACTCACACACACTCACTTCCCAGCAACACTCATACTCACACCCAAACCAACACACACTCACACTCACACCCCACCGACACTCCCACACCCACACACACTCACACCCCAACCAACACTCCCACACACCCACAGCCCCACAGTAACACACACGCACACCCCAACCAACACTTGCACGCTCTCAAACCAACACTGACACGCTCTCATTCCCCCACAAACACGCTCACACCCCCACCAACACTCTCATGCCCACGCCCCCACCAACACTCTCACAGCCCCACACTCACACGCTCACATACACACTCCCTCATACATTCACACCCACACTCGCTCGCATGCCGCCCACCCCAACCACGCAAACCAAGGGCGATTCCAAGCAGCCTCCCCGGCATCTGAAGGGTGACAGCAGGCCCGGGGGGTTCCTGCGGCCCGAGCACAGCTGCATATGGGGGCCCCAGGCTGTACCCACATCCCTGCAGGTTCCCCGAGTGCCACTGGAAGTGGCCCCGCCTAAGAACCAAGTGAAGTGGCCTGCAGTCCCCTCAGCGCCTCCCGGGCACCGTGCATGGCCCCAGGCTGTCTGGGGGGGCAGGGGGACCCACCTCGTTCCAGCCAAGGCACCATCGTTCTTGCCCAGTGGCTTGTCCAGCTCTACGCCGCACCAATCCCCCTTGGCGAAGTCCGTCTCCCCGAGGAAGCGCACCACACCGGCCTCCATGCCTCCCACCTGCCAGAGGGATGGAGGGACGTGGGTCAGGCACCCTGGACTGCGCACAGCGCCCCCACCCCCGCAAACAAACATTCTGGCTTCAGAGTCGGGATTTCCTGAAGAAACCCCAAAGGTCAAAGTGCCATTTCCCCCCGCAACCCCTACAGGGTGAGCAGACGCTGCTGCTCAGTGTCCATACAAGGCAGCGGCATTCACACCCACTCGCTGTCACCGGTGGCCTGGCTGACCACACCCCCAGGAATCTCTGACCCAGGCCAGCCACCTGGTGTGGCGAGGGGGTCGCTGCCCCTTGGGTGTGGAGCGGAGCACTGGCAACCCCACCGCTGGAGAACAATTAAGCCAGAAGCCAGCTAAAGGAAAATGACTGTTCTCGTATCTTAGCAGAGTTCAATCTTCCAGTTCTCCTTCACTATGCCTTGGCTTGACGCTTGGCTCCCGGGACACAGAGCAAAACAGAATCACAGCGCTGGACACTGACAGGAATGCTGACAAATAGGGCTGGAGCACCGGGGGAAGGGCACTGGCTTTGTGTGCGACCACCCTGTGACGCCCCAAGCAAAAACATCGAAAACCAGAGAAATAGAACCGATTTCCAACTTTGTTCATTGGTTTGTTTTTGAGTCACATTCAGAGTGCTCAGGGCTTACTCTTGGCTTGGTGCTCACGGATCACTCCGGGATGTGCTTGGGGGACTGTACATGGGACCAAGACTTAAACCCCGGGTCAGAGGCGTGCAAAGCATGACCCCTCCCCACGGCATGACCCCTCCACCCTGTTTTGGCTAAACTGGTAAAACTGGCAGCATCCCCGCACGCATCCATCACGCTGGAAACTGCAGGACCAGGCGTCCCGGCTGCTCGTGCTTCCACCCAAACCGCGAGTCTGGAGGAGCTGATGAACCAGACAGGCGAATGGACAGCCACCCGCGACCTATGCCCTCGGCACTCACCAGCACCTGGTCCCCGAGCTTCAGCTCCCGCTCCCCTTTCTTGAGGGAGCCGGCCTCAGAGAGGTTGGAGATGGACTCGCTGGCCGTCCTGGTCAGGCTGCTGATGTGAGGGGTGGCCGGTGACTCCTTCGCGGGGGACTGGGGCACCTTCGCGGTGCCGGCAGGGGCCGGGGAGGCCGACAGGGGCGGTGTGGCCCAGGCGGCAGGCGCTGGCTGCCGGCAGTTGGTCTCATCGTCGGCCTGCAAGCTCCTACTCAGCTTGGACGGCCGGGTGAAGATGCCCTTCAGCGGCTCGCACTGGAAGTAGCGCACACCCGCCACCGAGCCGTCGTTCTTGCCGATGGGCTCGTCCAAGACGATCCCGGCCCACTGACCAGGGGCAAACTGGGTCTCCCCGAGGAACTGGATGAATCCAGGCTTGTTCCCGTTCACCCAGACTCGTTCCCCGACCTGGAAGTCGCCCACAAACTCCTCCTGCATCTCCGAGGAGGGGGCTCTGGGGGTTTTCTCCCCAGGCACGGTCTTCTCAACGGGAGCAGCCGCTGGAACAGCAGAAAGGGTCAGAAGGGTCAGAAGGGACAGGAAGGGCCTGTGCAGGTCCAGTTAAAGTGTGGTTGGGGGAGAGGGACACCCAGCAGTGCTCGTGGCTACTCCCAGCCAATGACGGGGGCTGCTTGTGGCGAAGCCTGGCCGGGCCAGCCGTGAAGCGGACGTGCTCACCTACCGCAGCATCCCAGGCCGCAGTCATACTTTGGGCAGCTCAGGGGAAATCTTTGGATACACCCCGTGATACTACGGACCAAGCCAGGTGAAAGCTCGAACCCAGTGTCTTATTTCTGCTGTGTCCACTGGCCCATCTTCTTTTTCTTTTGGGCGGGAGCAACCCAGCCAATGCTCAGGGCCTATTTCTGGTTCTCCGTTCAGGGTTACTCATGGTGAGGTTGAGGGTGGAGAGTCACATGGAGTGCCAGTTGCCCTCCCCACTGTACTGTGGCTTTGGCCGGCAATGAGGCCCTCTAGTCCAGGTGAGTCCACCTCCCTAAGCCTGTCCCCAAGCCTGGGCAAGGGAGCTAGCAGTTAGAAGGGAGCGTGTTGGTCGCCTCAGCTGTCACCGGTTGCCGTGACTCTAAACTCACAGAACGTGACACTCGTGTGTGAGAGCTTTCCCCAGAGCCACGGACGTGTCTACAGCTCAGGGAGCCCTTCCCGGGCGAGGACTCGGGATGGGGTTCCCGGGTGGGAATGAGTCTCCGTTGGCCTGGGCTGAGCGCACTTACTGGCCGAGGGTGTCTTCAGGGCCCAGCTCCCATGCTTGAGGATCTTGGTGGGGGCCTTCAGCCCGCTGGGCCTCAGCAGACTCATGGTCAGGCGGTCAGACGCTGCCGCAGCCACTACCAGGCCCCGACCATCGAGCCCACTGTGGGGCCTTCTGAGGCACACTCGTTCTCAGGAGTAAATCTCTGAAGAGCAGAGGAGAGAGTCTGTCTCAGGCAAGCGACCACAGCAGCTTCCGGAGCCCAGAGAGCTGCCAGTCTGGCACTCTCCACCCCGAGTGCGACCCCCAGTCTCCCGCACAGCCCCCTGAGCCCACCAAGTGTCATTCCTGCGCAAAAACTCAATCCAAAACAGACAAACAAACAACTGCCGATTCGGGGCCAGAGAGCAGAGGGGACAGGTACTAGCCCTGCGGGCAGCTGACCCTCGCGCCCTCCCTGCCATCACTCCCACCACCAAACACATTCAGGAGCCAGAAATCATCCCTGAGCACTGCGAGTGTCACTGACCACCTCCCCGTCCAGACACTGACGAGCCGGCAGGCGACTCAGCAGTGATGGCTGGTCTTGTGTGTGCGTGTGTGCGTATGTACATGTGTGAGAGGCCCGGGGTTACACGTAGAAGCTAAGGCAAGCAACAGGCACACTTTTTTCTATGGGATCAGAACTGCCAGGGAAAAGGGCCCAGCAAGACTGCGCCATGGGGGGCTGGAGAGTGATAGCATAGTGGGAAGGGCATTTGCCTTGCACGCGGCCGACCCAGGTTCGATTCCCAGCATCCCATATGGTCCTCTAAGCACTGCCAGGAGTGATTCCCGAGTGCAGACCCAGGAGTAAACACTGTGCATCACCAGGTGTGACCCAAAAAGAAAAAAAATTGTGCCAAAGGGGAGCGAAGGAGTTTTCGGCATTTCCTTCATTCCTTGTGACGCTGCCCAGGTTGGATAACCACAAGCCAGTATTAACTCCATTTCTTAACCCACAGAACTGAGGCAGACAGGTAGATGCGGGAAGCGTCCCCATGGCGATGGAACTCCGAGAAAGTCAACAAAAGCTTCATGGCCACCAAAAGACTACCTGAGTGCACGGGACCCATGGTCTTGTCAAAATTAACCCACATTATGAGGCCCAGAGCAGGCTGGACCCCCTGAGGGAATAGGAACAAAGGGCAGGAAAGGAATTTCTAAGAGGACCATGGACCACTCAACTCTACCCCCTTGGCAACCACCCTAGCAACGGACTCTAGGTAGCTAGAAACTCCCACCAGGGGCAGCCTGGGGAAATCCCTAGATTAGCCACCTTGAACCAAGGGAGGGCGCTCATGTGTGCCCGAGCCCAGGTACTGCTCTTGCCTATGAGGTCCATCATGTCACGGGCTTCTCCCCTCCTGAGGTGTGGACTTTCAGACCGAATGCAACCTAGCAACATAACATGTTCAGTGGCTTTCCGCACCTCTGGAGAAGCCGCACTCTCTCTCGAGCGTGTTACTCCCTCCCTCCTTCCCCTTCCTAAAGGCCTCCAAATAAAATGTTTCTGCTTCATGCTCATCTCCTGAAATGCTTTTTTGCGAGGAGGACAAAGGCCCGGGGGCATGAGGAGGTTGAGGATCGACTCCCTTTCCCTGAAAAGGGCAACCCCTCACTCCGGCCCAAGACCCCGGGAAGGCCTAGTGGGCGTCATGGGGCTGGCGGGGCTCATCGCACTCAGCAGTGCCAGTGCTCCAGCCAGTCTCGGGGGAGTGATATATTCTCCTCTACTTCTCATCAGCCCCCCATGAGGGCCCACTGACTTCAGAGTCATTCCATATTTCAATAGAGAAGTCCACAAGGGGCAGAGAGGCAGGACAGTGGGGAGGGCACTTGCCTTATATCCAGTTGTCCTGGGCTCGATCTCCGTCAGCACAGGGACGTTAGCCGGCCAGGTCACCCCTGGGCACAGCCAGGTATGGCCAACCCACCCCACCCCGCCCCCACCCCACCCAATAATTTATATATAACTAGTAAAAAATCTTAAACTAACTAAAGATTCAAAACTATCATACACTAAAGAACTGTTAGAGAAAAAAGCCGCCCGCACGCGGGCAGAAAGCCCAGAGACTCAGATTCACCTGTGTCACACTGCACTCGCAGCTTCAGTACTGAGCTCTGCCAAACAGGCTCGTGCCAGTCTCGTGGAGAGACTGAAAATGGCAGTTGGAGTCTAGAATGTTCTGAGGTAGAACTAGAATTCAGCAAGGAGGAGGGCATCATGGGCCATTCTTAAAGGGGCAGGCGCCACCCTTCGTGATGTCAGTGTTTGGCTGAGACTCTGGAGGGCTGCCCTGCAGATGTCAGCACTACTTGGCCAACGAGCCTCTGGTCCCTGTGGGGCCCAGTTCTGGATCCCCGGGCCCTGTGAAAGTGGTTTCAGAAAACTTTTGCCAAATGTTTCTCAGTTACAGATCTCCAACTGACGTCATTCAGCATCCCCCAAGTGGGACCTGGACCCAGTGACCCTGCCCAGGGCCCTCCTCAGGAGCCGGGCCAGGAAATCTGTGAGCCGGGAGGGGGGGGCGTTGGGCAGAGCAACAGGGCAGAGGCCCTGAGCCCGACCCTGACAGCCCTGCTCTCTGTGACCCCAGTGCTGTGAGCAACACCGGCCGCACCGTGGCCAGGGAGTGGCCCAACCCAATAAGGCCTGAGAGCTGTACAGAGGAGTATGGCCTGGCCTGCTCCGGATGGGAGCACAAGCTGAACGACTGCGGGTCCCCTCGAGGATGAGTGAGCCGGAACTGGGGAGTGGGGGGGAGGTGGCAAGGGCGGAGTCACCTAACCTGGGGGCTGAGGACGGGATACCTGACGGTGCTCAGGGCTGACTCTGATCCAGTCATGGGGGCTCATCCTGGCAGGACCTGGGTGGGGAGGGACGTACAGGGTGGGATAGGGTCAGCCACAGGCAAGGCAGGCTCCTTGGCCCTGGGCTACCCTTCCGGGCAAGGATACCTATTTTCTTTCTTTCCTTTTGTTTTTTGGGACACTTGGCAGTGCTCAGGGTTACTCCTGGGTCTGCACTCGGGAATCACTCCTGGCGGTGCTCAGGGGACCTATGGAGTCAGCCATGCACCAGGCAAGCGCCAAGTCTTCATGTCAAGGTGCCCACGAAACACAGTGTGCAACAAGGGATTCTACAGAGAATGTCAGGGCCAGCAAACGCTACGTGGAAATCAATGAATTCTGAAAAAACACAAAAAGATGCAAAAGGAGGGGCTGGAGTGAGAGCACAGTGGGGAGGGGTTTGCCTTGCTCACGGCTGACCAAGATTCGATCACCAGTCCTGAGCACTGCCAGGAGTAATTCCTGAGTGCCACGTCCGGCGCTTCGGGGCCGAGCCAGGGGAAGGCCGTCAGGGTGAAATCAGCACTCGAGTCACACAGGGTTCGTCATTCACGAGATTGCATGAATGCGTGCGTTTATTCAGAGCATAAGTACAGACTTAAGTATATTTCCACAGCTCACACAAAAGAAGGAAAGGGGATGGGACGTGGGAAAGTGGATGGGACAATGAGCAGAGCCATGCACTGTTGGTCAGCCACCTGGTGACCCTTTCGGCATAATGCAATTGGTCAGAACGACCTGCTTTGATATAGCTTTGACATATCTGCAAAGATTGTGCTGTTCCTCATACATCAGTTACAAATCATTTACGAGGGTGCATTTTCCCAAAACTGAAACCTCCTGTACTGGGAAGTTGCCCAGCTTTGAGCAGGACAAAGGGGGAATGAAAAATCAAGCATTCTTTTACTTGGTCAGTAGGCAACACTGAGCATCACTGAGTGTGACCCAAAAAGCCAAAAAAAAAAAAAAAGAGAGAGAGAGAAAAAAACAGCGCAAAAGAAAAAGTGTTTGAGCCTCACTGTCTCCCTGAGACTTGAGCACTCAAATGCTGTGTGTGAGCCTAGTAGAGTCCCCGGCCTGAACAAGCCCCCACCCCCCCACCCCCATGCTCCTGTGTTTGGACCCTGACCCTAAATCCTGTGATGGGACCACGTGTGTCCATGACAAAGACGCTAGCAGGCTCACGCCCTGGAACGTCCCTGCTTCACACAGGCGTGGCACACGGGGTCTGGCCTGCTAGCGGCCGGCAGTGATTCGGCAGGAAGCAGAAGTGTGAGCCTGAACGTGGGTCAAGTCCGTTCCTTCAGCTTGGAGTGGAGGAATGTACAAGAGGGGGTTTTGAGCACTGCCTCACAAGCAGGAGGTCCTGAATCCAAGCCCCCGGGGTCAACCGTGCACCTGGCACAAAGCCGGCACAAACCCGGCAGCTCTGCTGTCCCAGCACCACGCAGGAAGGGGGGTGACCCCAGGGGGAGGGCCACCGAGAGAGGAGGGGGACACCACAGAAAGGAGGAGTGAACACAGGGCAGGAGTTGAGGGCTGCAGGGCCAGGAGCACCGGGCAGAGAGCAGCCCTGGGGAGCAGGAGGACACGCGGGCGCCCTTGTCACTGGCCACTCGAGGCAGTCGCACAAGCCGTGTGCAGACCCACAAGGCTGACAGGACGCCAGGGACGGGGAAACCCCAGCAAGGATTTTTCTTTAAGTTTTGGGCCTTGGGGCCAGAAGTCTAGTACAGCGGGGAGGGCATTTGCCTTGCACACAACTGACCCGGGTTCAATCCCGGCATCCCATAGGGACCCCCGAGCACCTCCAGGAGTAAGTCCTGAGTGCAGAGCCAAGAGTGACCCCGGAGCACGTCCAGGTGTGACCCAAAAACAAAACTACAGCAGAGCAAGCAGAAGGGCACGGAAGCTCCGAGCCACGGAAACGCCGAGGTTGGTGCCCACTCGCCCCCGCCCCCCGCCAGGTCAGGCCTGCCTGCGATCAAGGTGCCCGAGTGTCTCCAGACAGGATCTGCCTCAGCGGCTCGGTGTGTCATCTCAGCCTATCACCCAACTCGACTGGGATTGACTCTGGTTATCTCCTTGACTGGTTATCTTGGGCATCTCAGGGGCCAGCCGCCAATCTCCGTCCTCCCACCTGGCCAGGGCGGAATCAGGTGTCAGCAGCTGGGCGCTGAACACCCCACCTGCCCGTCCAAACACAACGCGAGCC